GATCTGAGGCTGAGATCTGATGATCAAGGTTTGAAGCCAACCTAGGCAGGAAAATTCATGAGACTCTTTATTTTAAAATATATAGAGAGGCTGGGAAGGTGGTTCAGTGGTAGAATGCTTGCCTTGCATGCATGAGGCCCTGGATTTGATTCCTCAGCACCACATAAACAGAAAAAAAAAAGCCAGAAGTGGTGCTATGGCTCAAGTGGTAGAGTGCTAGCTTTGAGCTGAAAAGCTGAGGGACAGCTCCCAGGCCCAGAATTCAGGCCCCATGACTGGACTTAAATGAAGAAATACATACATACATCCATATTGTAAAGGTGATGTACAGAGGGGTTACAGTATAAAAAGTCAGGTATTGAGTAAACTTGTTTTGAACAGTGTAATTGTAATATCCAATTAACCGTAAGAAAAAACTGGAAGTTGAACTGTGTCTCAAAGTGGTAGAGCTTTGAGCAGAAAAGTTCAGGGACAGTGCCCAGGTCCTCTGTTCTAGCCCCATGACTCGAAAAAAAAATAAAGAGAGAAGGAAAGGAAGGAAGGAAGGATGGAAGGAAGGAAGGAAGGAAGGAAGGAAGGAAAGAAAAAAAGAAAAGAGAGAGAAGAAAGAAGGGAAGGAGAGATGGAGGAAGGGTAAGAAAAAAGAAAAGAAGAAAGGAAGATAGGCAGGCAGGCAGGCAGGAAGGAAGGAAGGATGGAAGGAAGGAAGCAAACAAGCAACCAAGCAAACAATAACTACTTAAGAAAAGCCAAATCACAACCTGCTAAAGAGCTTCTACAATATATAAAGGGCATGTTTTATTTTTCGATGACGTCCAGTTTACTCTAAAGCTAATGATATAAAAGACTTAAATTCACTGAATATTAAAATAATGCATTGGATAAGTTATGATATCTCATATTAAAAGCTAAAATTGCATGGGATAAAATACATTTATATTTTCCATTTAGGTTTTTAAGAATTGCAGACTACACATTCTGCTGTGCTCTATTATTTTGTAGTTCTGTTTTCTTTGAGTATGATCTTCATAAGTAGTTTTTGTTTTTGTGTGAGGATGGTGGGAAAAGCGAATGAAAGGAAGGATCCTCTAAGATGTAATCTTGTTCCAAAGCATGTCATAATTGATGAATGGAACAGAAACCCTCCAATTTATTTATTTATTACATTAAGAACTATGTGACCTGGATAATAGAACACCTTTATTGAAATTCTAATGAATAATCGTCTCTGCCAAACTGGAAAATTAAACATAATTTGTTATTGTTTGGACGGTTTGAAGAGAGTTGTTAATAGCAATGTTCCTAATAATTAAACATTTTTAGCAAATTGTATCAAAATGTTAGAGGATACGTTATTAATTCATAACACTTCTCTTTTTTTCCAGGAAGATTAACTCTTAAACATTAATTAAGAAGCATATCCATCAAATGCATTGTGTTTTAAGTAATTTCCCTTTAACAAACAAGCAGTGCTTAGACGGATATTAAATTTTTTGCAAAAATTTAGTATGTATAAACATAGAAATTGCTGGCATAGGATGCATACCTACAATCCTACCTACTCTCGAGGTGAAGGTGGGAATGTTAAAGTCGAACCCAGTTTGAGTAAAATAAGCAACAGACTGAGGAACTAACAAGAAAGAACTGGAGGGGTGGCTCCATGTACAGTGCTTAAGGCTCAGAGTTCCATCTCCAGTTCAACAATAAATAAGTAAATAAAATAAATAAATAAATGACCAAAGGAAAATGTGAACTAAGTAAAATCTTTGTAAAATATAATCACTTAAGAATTGCCCTAGGAAGCAAATTGGCTATATCTTATAATATTTATATAAAAGTTTATTATGTGATCCAGTGACCATGTATCTTAAGGATTTACTCAGAAGTATTGAAAACTTATGGCCATACACTAAAGCCATAAGCCTATGTACAAAACAACACATAAATGCTGAAGATAAATACAAGATACTCTTTAATAGATGAAAAGATGAAATTACAGAACCTCTGTTGATGTTTTTATTAGCTGTCACTTAACAAAAATCACAGCAGGGCGCCAGTGGTTCACGTCTATAATCTTAGCTACTCAGGAGACTGAGATCTGAGGATCGAGGTTCAAAACCAGCCTGGGCAGGAAAGTCCATGAGACTCTTATCTCCAATAGAACTACCAGAAAAGTGGAAGTGGCGCTGTGGCTCAAGTGGTAGAGCACTAACCTTAAGTTGTAAGTGACAGTGCTCAAGACCATTGTTCAAGACCCATGACCAACAACAGTAACAACAACAAATTTACTATCAAACCATGAGGTCATGCTGGAAATTTAAATTCAAAATGCCAAGCAGTGTGCCAGGGGCTTATACCTGTAATCCAAGTTACTCAGTATGCTGAGATCTGAAAGTCATGGTTCAAAGCCATCCTGGACAGAAAAGTCTGTGAGACTCTTATTTCCAATTAAACACCCACACCTACTTCCCTCCCCCCACACACACACCATTTGAAGTTTTCATTTGTGTTTCTTTCTTGGAATCAAAATTGCTATAGTTCTGGATTTGATTACCTCTCTCTTGACAGTGTGTTTTATTATAAAAAACATATTCGTATTATTAGTTCTAGTGAGAACAGAATAATGCAAAACTAACTTAATATATACATTTTGTTGTAAGAAAAGAACTTCTTGACAGGATTGCCAAACACTTAAATTCCTGAATAAAAGTAGTCATTTCACTGTCTTTCAGCTCTCTAGAATAGATTGTCTCCATCTTGTCTTGAAAGAGAGTGAAACTTCTAATGCATTTATTCAACACTAGTCTTCTTCTGAGACATGTATTAAAACATCTTTAGAAATCTTTAATGTTATATGTGCTGTCAAAATCTAATTGCCAAAATGTACCACAATTATAAAGCTAAAAATATGTTCTAAAATCTTCTCAGGTAGTATAGCTCCTAATGTTTCATTTGAAAATCACATTATTTGAAAAAAAAAGTCTTTATAAAATAAATAAGTGGGTCTGGGAAGTTGGCTTAGTGATAGAGTACTTGTCATGCATGCATGAAGCCCTGGGTTTAATTCAGCAACACATAAACAGAAAAAATCTGGAAGTGGCACTGTGGGTCAAGTGGTAGGGTACTAGCCTTGAGCTGAAGAGCTGAAGGACAGCGCCCAAGCCTAGAGTTCAGGCCTCACAACTGACAATAATAATGTTAATAATAATATAAGTGAAAATATCAAAGGCACTATATAATTTTTGTTGTTAAACTGTAGGTTGTTATAGATTTATTGAGAGATATTAAGCCACACACCTAATTTCATTAAATATGATCTTCCTCTTATTTTTCTGGTTATTATTTAGGAGATATTGAAAATGTGTAGTATATGGTTACTTCAGTAAGACTATATTTTATTGAATGTTGGTTTGGAGATGAGTGTAATGCTGGCTTCCTATAATGAGTTTGGTACTGATTCCTCCCTTTCAAACTCAAAGAAAGATTTTGAGGCATATTAGTATTAGTTCTTTAAATATCCCAGAAAATTCCATTGTGCATCCATCCAGACTTAGACATTGTGGGCTGACATTTTTTTTGTTGCCATTTCAGTCTCATTACTTTTTACAGATGTTTTAAGTGTATTATATCCTCTTGGGTTAATTTTGATACATTATTGTCATCTAGGAATGTAGTCATTTCTACTACATGTTCTAGTTTGTTGACGTAATGCCTTGAGATATTTTCCCCTATAATATTTTAAATGTTACTTGTGTCTATTTTGATATCTCTTTTCAAGTATATTAAATGAAGCAAATCAGACTGATAGCCAAAAGAGTCACATTTTTCTCCTATGTGAAAGACCTAAATTATAAATATATGTTTAAATGTATACAAGGTAATATGAATATATACATAAACATATTATCTAAAGTATACTGTAAGCTAAGAAGGATTCCAAGGGGCTAACTCCTTTCAATAATTTTGTTAACTTGCAATATGATAAAACGAATATTAGGAAAGTAGAATACATGTTTTTGGAGAAGGGTTAGGCCAAAGAGTTAGGCCAAAGGATTAGGATAAGGGAGACCAATGGAGAGAGGGAATGAGTGGATGCAATCATAACATTCAATGCATATATAAAAAATGAAACCAGGTAAATGGATTAGATTGATGGATTCAGAGAGATGTGGCAGTGGGATGCAAGGTTTGATACTGGTCAACTTGACCAATATCACTGTATTCATAAAGTGACATGTTAGATTCAAACTCTTTGCACAAATACTTAATGATAATAATTGAAAAGACTGTAGTTGTAGTTTGGTGATGAAATATTCAGAGATAAAATTAAAACAAAAATGTAAATTTGTCATGTTGTACTCGGAGTGTGCTTAAAGAGAGAAAAATAAATGTCAGGATAATAGGAAAGACTTTTTGGTAAATACAAACATAAACTTAGTGATACTAAGCTTACTGAAATACAGATAGATTTATACCAAAAAAATAGAAGAGATAGTGTCTTTAAAACAAATAAAAAAATTTTAATGTATTTTGCTTTTAAAATATGAAAGAATTCCTCAGAGTGAAATATAAATTAATTTAAATTCAAATCCAAACCCCATTAATTTCACTTCCCTGCACCTCATTTTGTGCCACTGTAAAGCTATATAAAATATACAATATACACATATATGGATGCATACATGCATACATATTCCTCATTAATCATCTAAATGATTAATGGGAGGCTGAGAAAATGATTTTAGTCTGAGGACATTCTATCTCTCCAAGCAGCAGTTTCCTTCATAGGAAAAATATGTTATTACATTTGGAAGAAATGAGTTTTCTATCTAATTTTGGAGATTTCTTATTCCTTGTTTTTATACAAGTTGTAAAGTATATAGTATTCAAAATTAAAATTATGTACCTTATATTGTCTATATAATAGCAGCTTCTAAATATTAATAAAATATTTTTCAGCAAAGTTTTTTTGAAAATAACTTAATTTTTTTTAATTGCAGGAGAAAACTGCAAGACCACAGAATACAACAAGATGAAAAGCATGCTTCTGGATTTACAAAACCAGAAGAGCATCATACAAGATAATAAAAATCCTAAGAGTGATAATGTATCACAGAAGATTTTGGTGGATCAAATGTTTAAATATTTTGATGCAGATAGTAATGGATTTATAGATAGTAATGAACTAACTCAGGTATGATTAATGATTAAGACAATGATTAATCAAGTAAGTTAATAATTAATGATAAAATCAACAAGCTTATTACTTATAGGTAGTATACATAATACATTTTTGTTTGTCAGAATTTATTACATAAAAATCTTATATATAACCTGTTATTAAAAATGTATGAATACAACTTGAAGAGTAAAAACTGTTGATTTTAGGTAGGCACAATGGTGCAGTTTGTTAATTCCAGCAAGGTGGAGAGAGATTCAAGAGGATGTGGAGATATAAACTAATGCCATATCTCAAAATGTTAGGTGCTAGGGTAATAGCACAGTATAGAATTCTAGTATAGTAGCTGGGCGCCGGTGGCTCATGCCTGTAATCCTAGCTACTCAGGAGGCTGAGATCTGAGGATCGCAGTTCAAAGCCAGGAACAACTGTGAAACTCTTATCTCCAATAAACCACCAAAAATCCGGAAGTGGCACTGTAGCTCAAGTGGTAGAGAGCTAGCCTTGAGCTGAAGAGCTGAGGGACCGCATTCAGGCCCAGAGTTCAAGCACCAAGACCGACAAAAAAAAAAAAAAAAAGAATTCTAGTATAGTATCTCCAAGGCTCTGAGTTTTGGTCTCCAACAGCACAACAGAATATCTATCTGTGTGTGTGTGTGTGTGTGTGTATGTGTGTGTTTGTGTGTGTGTTGATCCTGAGGCTTAAAATTGCTGCCTGTGTGCTTTCCCTGAGCTTTTGTGTTCAAGGATAGCACTCTACCATATGAGCCAATGCTCCACTTTTTGCTCTTAGGTATTAATTGTAGATATGAGTTCACAGACTTTCCTGCCCTGGCTGGTTTCATTACAAAGTAAAATTTAAATCTTTTAGAAATGTAGTATTTTAGGGAACTGATTAATGATAAACAATAGATAGATTTTTTCATTGACATTTGAATGTCTAGGTGACTTATAAATATAGTAACTGAAAAAGGAAATCAAAACAGATTAAGACTAAGAAAATGTAACTAAAAAAAGGAAATGAGATTTACCTTGAAAAATCTCAAAATTAAATTTCCCTATTGGAAAAGAAATAAATAATTGCAGAGGGATGCATTCTTAAGGTTTTTGTCAATCACCTATTTTATGATCATTGCAAAATGGCTAAGAACTTTGATTAGGGAGACTGTAACTTATGACAAGTGAGTCAAAATCTCTATCTCTGAATTAGCAATGACCATAGAACTATTACTTCAATTTGATGTGATCCTTTTATACTTTAGAACTAGAATCTTCGAATACACAAGGACATGATAGAGAGCTATAATAATGCTTCCCAAACCTGACCTTCAGATTTTGGATGGTGGAGGTAAAGTGGTAACTCATGTGTGAGTTAACCAGTGATGACTGAGTGAAATTTCCAGCTTATTTTACTTTGGAGTTTAATGCTTACAATTGAATCTCAAATGAGAACAAATAAAATACTGTAGACATTTATGTAAATAACTATAACCATACAAAATGGTTTAATCATGAATATATAGCTTGCATGAAAAGAGAAATAATTTTGGCTATTTCAGGAAAATAAGAAAAGCATGTTTTATTTTCTTCTACTCATCAGAGATGCTCAAATTTCTATCTGAAATATCTAGCTAGCATCAAGGTTAATAAACCCTGGTTCTGTCCTGAAGCAAGTAAATATAGTCACTCTGCCATCACTAAGATATTGAGCATTTGTTTTAACTACCTAGTAGTGTTTATGACATTATAGGTATAATATTTAATTTTTTAGAACTTAAATATTACTTGGTTTTTATTTTGAGAAGCTGATCTATATTAACATATCACAAAATAAACTTAAGTGTTCAATAGCTAGATTTGTGCAATTTCGTTTCCCAACCAACTGTTAAGCAAGAATGAAAAATTGCATTAAACAACCCAACATTTGATGTAACCATGAATTTATATTTATTACAGTTTGTAAGTTTATATTTTAAGCAATAGAACACAAACTTTTTACTAAATCATGCATTTAAATTGATATTTTAGTTAATATCAATGTTAATATATATTCATGTATTATAGTTAATAAATTAAAAGTTTAGATAATATATATAGTTATATATAGGTTTTATATTATAGTTTATATATTATAGTTTGAAATATTCTAAACTATAATCCATTTAAATTCATGTATATATACATGAATATATATCATGCATTTAAATAATCAAAACTAATACTTTAAATGCGTGATATATATGTATATATGTTGCATATATACATATATGTATATGTATATATCTTGTCATCCCAGGATGTTAGATAACTGGAGTATCTATTTTTCACAGTAATATAACAGGACTATCTCTTCTCATATACTTGTCTTAAATTTTGCATGGCAGAGGTAATGTTTAAGTCATATGTAAAATATTTTTCCTTGTGCTTATTCACTTTCATTGCCTATTATTTATTGGAAATGGATGGGTAGACCTAATGTTTATTTAATCCCTCAGTCATTTTTTCAATTGGTACTTTACCCAGTGGCTCATATACAGATGAGGATGGAGAACTTTGAATGTTCTTCCTATTCTTTAGCACTGAATTATATACCCTGAGGAAAAAGGTGAAAGTGGTAACCGTCCACCCAACCCCATCACACCCCTACCTTTTCTGATAGCCAAACATTTATCTTTCTCCTCCCCAGAACTAATCATCTGGATTTCACCTTCTCTTAAATTGTCTTGTCCAGCATTGAAGTTTCAGAATTGGTAGTATATTGTTAAATCTGAAACTTCACTAACTTAATTAAGTCACTAATTCAGGTACTTTATTATCCCCTCTAAATTTACACACACACACACACACAAATGTATTATGTATACTATCTTAAGTAATACGCTTTTTGACTTTATTTACTCGAAGCACTCCTGGGTGGAGTGAAGCAGGATGATACGATCTTTCATAACACTACGCAAAATATTTTAAAATTTAAGACATAAATTAGTTACAGAATTTTTGACACAATTTTCTGTGAATAACTGAAACTACAGGAAGCAACATAACAGACATGAAAGTTATAATATATTTCTTCCTTTGGGTAAGACAAAGTGATACCAAGTAGACTACACTTGGTATAATGACAGCCTTGACTGTGTTATTAACAAACACTAACTTCTGCGAATTTGAAAAATCTTTTTCCTCTGGCTCTTATTTCAAAGAATAATATCGTATATCCTGTAGAATGTGTGTAAGCTCAGAAACAGCTTACAGAAGTCCCGTGTGATTCTGAGTTCAAACAAGCAACATTATTGAATATATTGGTTTAGGTTTTTCTCCATTTAGAATCTGTCATTTTAATAAGCTGACTCATATTAGAAATGCATATTCGAATGAGATGTTGTCCTAATGGACATACATGCCAACTCTATTAAAATGATAGAAAAAAAGTACTTGTTCACAGGGTTTAGATTATGTTATACAAATTTGACTTACAATGCCATTTGCTCACTGACTCCCCATGTGACTACATTTACCAAATTAAATTAAAAGCATGAATAAATGAGAATTATTTTTAAGCTAATGGGTGGTTATGGCATTGATGTTTTTGTAGTATTTGAATATATAAAATATTAGCCTTGAAATTTTTTGCATAGGGAAAGAGCTAGTTAATCTATATTTTGAATTGATAAAGCCTATTAGGTTTGTTAAGTATTTTTTCATTTTTGTATCTAGTCAGCATATTTATTTACTGTGAGATTAGTTAGAATTATTCTGTCTTTAGATAAAAAATTGGTTCTTAAAGAACAAACTGCATACAAACAAACAACCCTTGAGTGGTTGGAGAATTGAGATAAGTATGGGTTCCCACAGAACACCATGCTAATTAATCTCATTAACACTCAGAATAAGCAGCAAAATGGGGATTGCTCTGTCCTTTAGAAGAAAATTTTAACTATTCTTGCATTGCAAAGCCCATAATCCTATCATATGTTTGGTAGAAGCTAAGTGTGTGTGTGGTAGAGTTGAATTGTCTAGTCAGCGGGTATGGTACCATCTTATTGGAAATTTGCTTTCTCTTCCTAAGGGTCTCAGAGTAATGATAACACTAACAAGGGGCCCTGAACAGGAAGGATGAGAATGTAAGTAGTTTAGTGTTGCCTTGTTTGTGGTCTACTAGATAAGCGCCCAGGAGTGGAATTGATAGGTCATGGGAAGCTCTATGTCTATTCTTTTGAGGAACTTCCATACTGCTTTCCAAAGTGATTGAACAAATTTACATTCCCACCAATAGTATATTAGCATTCAATTTTGGCCATATCCTCACCAGCATCTGCCATTGTTACTTTTCTAAGTAATAGCCATTCTTCAAATTAATTCTTATTTATGTGGTACTGAGGAGTCGAACCCAGGGCCTCATGCATACTAGGAAAGCACTCTACCACTGAGCCACCTTCCCAGCCTCAATGGCCATTTTATCTGTGATGAAGTGGAATCCTAATGTTGTTTTGATTTGTATTTCTTTTATTACCAGAGATGTTTAACCTGTGTCTGTTGGCCATTCTCACTTATTTTGAGAAGTCTCTAAGTCTTTAGCTTATTTATTAACTGGGTTGTTTTTTTTTTTTAAGTGTTAATTTTGGGGCTTCATTTTTTAAACTCTAAATATATTTTAGATGTGAAGCACTTGTTTGGTGCAGATAATAAAAATCTTCTTACCAGGGAGCTAGTGGCTCAGGACTTTAACCCTAAATACTGATATCTGAGAACTGGAGTTTGAAGCAAGCTTAGCCAGAAAAGAAAATGAGACTCTTGTCTCCAATTAACCAAAAAAAAAAAAAAGCTGGAAATGTTGATACAGTACAAGTGAGAGAGAAGCAGTCTTGAGCATAAAAGTTAAATGAGACCCTAATTTCAAGCCATAGTACCAGTATACACAAACACACACACACACACACACACACACACACACACACACACACACACGAATATATACATTCATTTAAAATGTGTTCAGGGAATTGTCTAGTCATATT